GTCGGCCCCGGGTGGGCCGGCGGACGTGCCAACACAGCAAACGCTGGCAGGTCCGGATGGGGTGGAGGTGCTTCGCCCTGTGCGGCGGTCTGCGCCCCAGTGTGCTCGACAGCAACGCCGGTGCCCGCGACCAATCCTGCTGCGCCAGCGCCACGGACGACCTCCTCGCCATCGGACATGCTGTTACTGTCAGTACCCGTGTCGCTGACGCCGCCGCTGTCGCTGCCGGCAATGAGTTGCCCATACCATGAGTCATCACTACCTATAGAGCTAAGTGATTCACTGTCAGACATTTTCTTTTACAGCTATGTTTTCTGTAACCCTACCAGTCTATTTCTGGGCCTGATGCTGTGTCCCGGGACGGTCACGCTTTCATGGCACCGGCAACTGCAGTGGCGCCTTGCAAGTCCAGTTCAGTTTTCTTGAATATAACAAATAAAACATCACAGTACTAGAGAAGCAGTTTGTTTGAGGAAGTACATGAAAGCGGTACCAACTAACTCCAGGGTGGGGCTCACTTCGAGTCAGGGCCCCCCGGGCGTCTTGCGGCCCGCGGGCCCATACCTTGCACGACCTAACTAATGTGTTTCGAGTGGTAATCAGCGGGTTAGGGTGGAAAGGTATCCAATACGTGCTGTGACAACCTTGCCCCGGACGGTGTGGGCCCCAGCGCCCCGCAATACGTCTGGTACCGCACCTGTACCAGATCTCGGTTGCCGTACAAGTCCTTCCGGTGATAGCACTGTCCGGGGAACACGTGTGCAGGTGCGGGGTGGTGGGGATGTTGGGGTGTTGTCCGGGGGGGGAACTGTCCGGGGGGTTACTGACGTCTAGGTTGGGCGAGCCGAGCAGGGTGAGTTCATCCATGTACGGCCGGGGGGAGAGGGGTAACAGGGGTGGCAGCCCGGCAGTGGCCCATTCCACTTCACTTCATTGCAACTCAGGGGGGTGACTCTTCACCCCCCGCCCCTACAGTCCTCAGCCCGGGTGGCCGCGCGCCCATGGGTAGAGCCGCCCTAAACGGACTAAAACCCGCCCTAAAACCCTAAAGCCTCAGTCCTCAGCCCACCTCGGGCGGCAGGTGCCTCCAAAACACATTGACACTGACGCTCATTTCTGTGCCGGTGGCCGTAACGTTGTGGAACCAGAGGCTAGGCAGGAACAGCACGTCCCCCGGCCCCAGGTCCGCAACCAGGGGGGGAGGACAGTCCGCGAACCTGGCACCGAGACACCGACACCAAAGTGGTTTTTGTGGGGAGGAGCAGGACAGGGGGGGGATTAGGTCTTGGGGTTGAGGTGGACACTGTTGGGCTGTTAGGAGGAGGGAGGGGGAGAGAGAAGACGCGGGTTCTACTGCAAGTTCAGTGTGTGGGGTGGATTACACCCCTCACCCTTGGGCCCCCACCTCCTACCTGGGATACGTGCTGAGGTCCGGGCGGCTGATCCGGGTGACTGGGGAGGAGGAGCCGCTCGCATGCAGCACGTCGTGGCAGCTAGGGGGCCACAACAACACACGCTTGGTGCCCCGGACCTGGACACGGGGGATTGGGGGGTGGGGGGA